CGCTTGGATAACTAGGATAAAATGGCGAGTTTCTCAACACTTTCACTTCGTCGCCGCACAAATCGCGCCAGATGGAAACTGTTAGTTGACCTTTTCTTCCTTCTTCACTTGCATCCGTGGAATTTTGTTCCTCGCCAGTTAAATTTACACCAGATTCATCAGTGAAGAAGACACTAGTTCTTCTTGAATAACTAACACTGTTCTTTTTGAATAAAACAGGAGCAAAAAAGAAAATCAAACAACAAGACAGTATTATTACCAGAAGCTTGAGCGGTCTTATCCGACTTCGGGAGAGTACAGGCAACCAAAAAGAGCCATGGCGAAGGTAAAACCGATACACGAGCGCGAAGATCGTCCGTCTTCCAACCATCTTTTATTTCAAACAGAGTGAAGAAGGTCGGTGGAATCCCGCTTTACCTTCACTAAAACCTGTGTACACCCCTTTACACTGAACTGAACTCGATAATTTCGGACATTTTTGGCTGAGCAAGTGGAGTGTCGACAAAAGCTCTCATACAAAGTCAATCTCCCACTGTAGATATTGTCGCAGTTTTGACGCGATTCTATGCAAATCAGTTGGCCGCCAAAGTTTTCTATAGGCGTTGTCATAGTCACCTGTACAGCATAACATTAACCTAGTAGCGCCAACATTCAACTGATCAGTTCTTATTCAAACAAACGACCATAACTCGTGCATTACAGTAATTGTAAAGTTTCAGCCTGCAAAACATTAGAGCTTTTCCGCATAAAGAACCTTACTAATGGTAATATGCATTTCACGACCTTAGGTATGTAGATGAGATGGCAATTGTCTCTCGTTCAAGAAAAAGTCGCACGCCCGAATGTAAACTGGTGTGATTTTGCTGTATTTTTTATTCAGCTCGCTGCGTTTGTAAATACCTTATGAAACCAGACAAATTTTCTCAAAGCTAATTGTTGCTTCTCAGATAGAGTTGCCTGAATTTCAGCCGCCTCCTCCGCTCGCTAAGTCACTCGGGGAGAGAGATGTCTAAAGCACTGGTCGATAACGCTTCCGGTGGCGTCACTACCCAAAAACCTGGTAGTGCTTCTGATTGGTTGCAGTGTTAATTTATTCGCCCGGCTCGAACAATTCAGAATAATTTTATTGCCAAATTCGCGCGTTCAAGATGGCGGAAGAAAATCGCGAGCTAACGCAAC